AGCTTAATGTTCCTGTCGGTAGCTAGCTAGCACTCACTCACATAGCTGCTAGCACCGACATGAAAAGGGGCATGAGTAGTGGTTTCTTTGCAGTAATTTGACCATGAAGGCCTGATTCACGCAGTCTCCTCTGAACAGTTGATGTTGAAATGTGTCTCTTACTTGAACTCTGTAAAGCATTTATTTGGGCTGCAATTTCTGAGGCTGGTAACTGTAATTAACTTATCCTCTGCAGCAGAGGTAACTCTGGGTCTTCCTTTCCTGTGGCGGTCCTCATGAGAGCCAGTTTCATCATAGCGCTGGATGGTTTTTGCGACTGCACTTGAATAAACTTTCAAAGTTCTGAAATGATCCGTATTGACTGACCTTCATGTCTTAAAGTAATGATGGACTGTCGTTTCTCTTTGCTTATTTGAGCTGTTCTTGCCATAATATGGACTTGGTCTTTTACCAAATAGGGCTATCTTCTGTATAATACCCCCCTACCTTGTCACAACACAACTGATTGGCTCAAAGAAATTCCACAAATTAACTTTGCAAAGCTGTCATCAAGGCAAAGGGTGGCTACTTTGAAGAATCTAAAATATAAAATATATTTTGATTTGTTTAACACTTTTTTGGTTACTACATGATTCCATATGTGTTTTGATGTCTTCACTATTATTCTACAATGTAGAAAATACTAAAAATAAAGAAAAACCCTTGAATAAGTCAGTGTTTTATATTTATGAAATTCACTGAGGAGGATGGTCCTCCTCTTCCTCCTCCGAGGAGCCTCCACTGGTCTATACCATATTGCATGTCTTTCAATTAAAAACTTGAGCTTAGGGCAATTATTTAACCCTTCTGTGGCTATTTCTGTTTTAACAACTCAGAGCATTAAGCACTTCTCTTTAAGTGCACCATCATGATCTGTTCACCACAATCCATTTGGAGCACTTAAAACCTGAGCCACCTTTGCTTTTACAGGATATTTGATTAGCACTGTTGTCTTCACTTGACTTGGTGGTTCAGTGGTTAAGTTGATATGGAGGCGGACTGGAAGAGCGGATGGAGTATAAAGGCACACAAGGCTTCTGCACACTTTATATCAAAAGACTGAAACATGACCGTACATGTTGTTGTCGTGTATGTTGTTATGTGTCTTGTATGTACCAAACTGTCACTACATATAAAAGTTCCCTTAAGAGGATATAAACGTTTTTTGAACTGAATGTGAATTACAAACATACACACAACATACAGTTGATCATAATCTGGAAACCTGGGAGAACATAGTTGTAATGCATATATTACAACAACGTACAAGCATGTTGATTGAATATTAAAAAAGGACAAGATGTGAGATGTCTAATAGCATCTGTGAATAATCATGCATATTTCCAATTGTAGTATAGATACAAATTATACGGAGGAGATATTGTGATGCAGTCAGCGTCTCTCTCTCCCTGCCTACTTGGTGTCTGTCATATTTGCAGGTTGTACTTAGTAATTTAATCTTATTGCAGTCTAATGTAACTGACACGAGGAAGGAGGGGAAGCAGGTCTTCGGGGAAAGTGGATGTAATTATTGAATTGATTCATGGGGCCTTGATTGACGGGCCAAGATCCTGTCACAGCAACTGGTCAGGAGAATGAGTGGGAGGATGGGGGAGGGAGGGGAAGAACGGGGAGGAGGATGATGGGGGAGGGAGGGGGGGGGGGGGGGGGGGGGGGATGATGGGGAGGGAGAGGGATGATGATGGAGGAGGAGTTATAGAAAGCGCTTCCACAACCTCCACTACTACTCATCCAAACTGCTGCAAGACAAATTCGATATATTTGCGCTTGATAATAGCTCTGATTTATTGTGCTTGTGTGTATGTGTTTCCTATTGTTTTAGATATGCTTTCTCCTCTGTTTCAGGTCCTAGACAGAAAAAAACATGTTTTGTGTGTGAGAACTGTGTTTGTCATGGAAACAGAGAGAACAATTGAAAACAATAATCAATGTTTTGTTTAAAAGGAAAAGCTGTTTTACGACAGACCACTGTTCGCTAATGTAACACCGTTCTATTAGAGTAAAATATCAAAGTACTCTCCTATTGATCCCTGGAAATGATCGATAGTCGGCCATTGCATCCCAGTGTCTGTTACTCAGCATGCTAGTTTTCTGGAATGGGGGATCATGACACTGAGACTGATTGCTAGGACACAGGACCTGTGTGTGTGTGTGTGTGTGTGTGTGTGTGTGCGTGCGGTCGTGCCTGTATGTCTGTGTGTGTGTGTGTGTGTGTGTGTGTGTGTGTGTGTGTGTGTGTGTGTGTGTGTGTGTGTGTGTGTGTGTGTGTGTGTGTGTGTGTGTGTGTGTGTGTGTGTGCGTGTGCGTGTGTGTGTGGCTGGTGCTAAGGCAGGTGACAGGTCTGGTCATGCTGACAGCAGTCAGGCTACTCCTAGGGGACTGTACAGACTGACAGCAGCTGCCCAAAAAGAGGCACCACATCCTGTTTTCCAGTACAAAGAGCCTGCTCACTCTCGCTACCTTTTTCTCTGTCTCTCCGTCTCTCTTTCTGTCTGTCTCGTTCTCTCTCTGTCTCTCCGTCTCTCTTTCTGTCTGTCTCGTTCTCTCTCTGTCTGTCTCCCCCCCCCCCCCCCCCTATTTATATTCTGAAACTACACACTCAGAACCTACAAACCTGCCTCTCTTTCTCTTAAAACACACATGCCAAACACGAAACACATACATACTGACATCTAAATGCAGGCATGTACTGTATACGGTCATCAACAAACATGCCCATACCCTCACAACTCCAGCATACTGTATATACACAAAGACCAGTCATACTCACACACACTCAGTTCTCTTCTTCCTTCTTGCTGTCTGTCTCAGCATGATGTAATGAGTCCTTCACAAACAACTTCTTGAGCTTAAAAAGAAGAAGAAAATAAAGATCAGCTTTGGGCGGGTAGGTAATCGATTTTTCCAAAGTGATTTGGTTTCCTCTAGCTGTACTCATGGTTGACCAACCAGCAGCTCCCCTGCTTTTCTCTTCCATCTCCCCGCTTTAACATCTCCAAAATGTTTCAACATGTTTCAGGCCCAGTGAACACAATGGCTTCCCTCCTGGCAGTCCATCAGATTCACCAATCAGACTCCAGTGAGCCTGTGGTTTAGATCAGCAAACAGGGATAGACAACTTTAATTAAAGGAGATCAGGTGCTCACATCTGAGCAAACATTTTTTTTTTATCCCCCAATAATTTGAGATTGGGAAATTACATTATAATAGGGGTGATTTTATGCAAACACGTGTTATCTTAGTGTGTGTGTGTGTCTGTGAGAGAGAGAGTGAGCAGGAAGAAAGCAAGATAGACAACACTGCCCTCCATGAAAGGAAATGTACAAGGAGACTTCATCACAAACAAGAGAAGCAGCACATACAGGCAAACCTAAGGTGAAGAAAAAATTACAGCTTGTCAGAGAGAAAGCAGCTTTGTAGCTACTCCTCTGTTTGTAGAGAGACAGGCGATGATGATGTATTGTCATTTTGTTAAGGTTAAAGGGAAATCATGTCATCCATCATATTGGGGGATGTGGTGAAGATCTGATTGGGCCTGGCATGGGGCCAGCCAGGCTACCTGTGTGTGTGTGTGGGGAGGGGGGGGGGGGGGGGGGGGGGGGGGGGGGGAACTAGCTCAGACTGGGAAAAATCGTTTTGAAAGGTCCGCCAACTCGGAATTCCAACTTGGGAGCACGGGCCTCTTTGTAGAGCTCCGACTTTCCAACTTCAAGACCATTGACATCATGATTTGACCTCTTATTTTTCCAAGTTCCCAATTGTCTTGAAAGCACCATAAGATATAAGACGATGATGAGGAGTGAAGAAAATATGGATGATAGTTTTCTTTCATGCTGCATTTGATATGGATGGTTGTGGTTGTGAACATTCAGTTGTCACATATTTTTCAATATCAAAACATGTTTGTCACTATTCTTCAAGATGATCTTTGATGTCGGATCACCACCTCAAACTGAACCTCTTCCTCCCGGGGAAGGACTGCGCACTCCATGATCTCGCCATCACGGTTGACAACTCCGTTTTGTCCTCCTCCCAGAGTGCAAAGAACCTTGGTGTGACCCTGGACAACACCCTGTCGTTCTCCGCTAACATCAAAGCGGTGACCCGATCCTGCAGGTTCATGCTCTACAACATTCGCAGAGTACGACCTTACCTTACACAGAAAGCGGCACAGGTCTTAATCCAGGCACTTGTACAAGCTCCCCCACGACGCCAGGACAGCGGAGTCACTGACCACCTTCCAGAGACACTTGAAACCCCACCTTTTTAAGGAATACCTGGAATAGTATAAAGTAATCCTTCCAACTAACCCCCCCCCCCCCCCCCATAAAAAAAGTGGTTGTCCCACTGGCTATCATAAGTTGAATGCACCAATTTGTAAGTCGCTCTGGATAAGAGCGTCTGCTAAATGACGTAAATGTAAATGTAAATGTAAATGTAATGTCCTGCTACTCATGTCATCCATTGATCAATCGGTGAATGATGGGATGCCGCGTTCAAATCAACTGGGAACTAGGAAAAATACGTGGTCAAATCATGACGTCAGTGATCTTCAGGTCAGAAAGTCAGAGCTCTAGAAAGAGTTGGAATTCTGAGTTGGATGACCGTTCAAATCGATTTTTCCCAGTCGGAGCTCGTTTTTTTTTTTTTTCGAGTTCCCAGTTGTTTTGAACGCACAGATTTCGGAAGTCGGAGTTTCCGAGTTCTGAGCTCCCAGTTGTTATGAACGCGGCATCAAACAACGCATTGCGACCACTGTCATTTGACGGTTCACATTTGACTTGTGGGAAATGTAGTTCTTAAGAACGCAAATAGCTATCACATCTACGATTTCGACTGCTTCTAAAACTTCAAAGACCATGATGCAACCCGTTTCCTCTTTCCGGAAGTTTAATGCACTGAAATTCCAACGTGATAACAAGAATTTGAGGGCAAGCGAAATGTCCCACATCACAAAGAAAAGGAAATTAGACAAGAATGTGCAGGATAACCTGTACTTTGACAGCTATTCTGATGTTACCATTCACGAGGAAATGATTGCAGACACTGTCCGGACGAACACGTACAGGACAGGGATACTGCGGAACAGCAGTTCGATTCAAGGGAAAGTAGTGTTGGATGTCGGGGCAGGAACCGGTGTTCTAAGCATATTTTGCGCCCAAGCCGGGGCCAGGAAAGTTTACGCGGTGGAGGCTAGTTCAATCGCTGATCAAGCTGTTAAAATCGTTAAACACAATAAGATGGAAGACATAATTGATGTGATTAAAGGGACTCTGGAGACAATCGATTTGCCGGAGCAGGTGGACGTGATAGTAAGCGAGTGGATGGGGTACGCGCTGCTTCACGAATCTATGCTGAATTCTGTCCTGTTCGCCCGCGACAAATGGCTTAAAGCCGGCGGCCTTATTTTACCTTCCAAGGCTGAACTGTACATTGCACCCATCAATGACTTGGTCGTGGAGGACCGGCTAAGTTTCTGGTCAACTGTGAAGGACCAGTACGACGTGGACATGTCGTGCATGTCTGACTTCGCCAGGAAATGCATCATGAGCAATGACATCACCGTGAACTTGGTGACGGTAGAGGACGTGCTCTCCCACCCCTCCAAGTTCGCCGAGTTGGATCTGTACTCGGTTACCGCGGAGCAGCTGAAATCCGTGAAGGGGGCATTCAAGTGCGAGTGTTTCGGTTCGTCTGCCGTGAACGCGCTCTGCGTGTGGTTCACGGTAACCTTTCCCGGTGGCGAGGAGAAGCCCCTGGTCCTCTCCACATCTCCGTTCAAACAGGAGACGCACTGGAAGCAGGCGGTGTTGTATCTGGATGAACCGGTGGATGTTAGACAGGACACCACAGTGGTGGGCGAGGTCAACATGTATCCCTCAGAGGACAGTTCCAGACATATATGCATCCACGTGGACTACACTATAGGGGAACTCAAAAAACAGTCCAAGACCTTCTCCATCCCTGATGGTTATTCGGGAGAGGCTCAACAGTAGTGTTTAGGCCTAATCTTTGACACTTTAAGCAGTGTCAACCTTACATTAACCTGGCTTAGCAGCAAAGAGGGACACTTGGTAATTAATTGTAGGCCAATGCCTAAATTGTAAAGAAGGAATGATGTAAAGAATCCCACTATTGTTATGTAGTTTATGCTACAGAGTTTCCTGATGTCTTTGAACTTGTGAAGGAGAGCCAAAGTGTTGTCATAATTGATCTGAATTGATTACTTAAGTGGATGGAATTAAATAAATCAAATCAACAAATAATATATTTTGCAAGCTCTCAATTGAAATGGTATGCAACTCACTTTTTCTCATGTTAATATAAACTTATTTTCATTTTCTTTACCCTATGAGCGGGTCCTACAGTAGAAGCAAGGTAACAATGTCAGGGCTATATATAAAAAAAAGACATGTTAAAAAAGGTAAGGGCTATATAAAAATAAAAAAAAGATGTTAAAAAAGGTATGAGCTATATTTCAGGTCTTTGTAAATGTCTGTTATTGACATCAGCAGTTGGTACAATAGGCCTGTCAAAAATCATCATAATCTGTGTGTGGATCACTGACAGAGATTATCAATATGGATTTCTTGTCTGTTTGCACCGTGTACAGTATAGATAGGCAAGATACCAGACCAATTAACTGTTTACCAGTTTTAAAAAATAAATATTTGCAGTTTTTCCATCTCACTGGGCCTAGGCTATTTTATTGTGTACACATTACTTCCATAGACTTGAACCCATTGAACTGAATCTGATGTCATATTTTACCTAATTGTTATTCAAATGGTTATCCACAACTAGTTAATAGATTCACCTAATCGTTCACTGAATGCTACTTTGAAACACCCTCTCTAGGCCTCCCTGATGTATGCTATTATATTACCCAAAAAAGACTGCTATGCAGGTCAGTTGAGGACAAATGTCCAGCATTCTCTGACAGTTAAGTTTTCATTCCAGTCAGAGTCTAACCATTAGCTTACAGTAAGGTGATCATGTGTGATAGGATAATGTATATGATTAAGGCATGGCAAACATGTTTTTGTCTTGATGATACTATGCAGTGTGAGACAGGAGGTGCATGGCACGGGTTTTAGTAAGAAAAATAGGATATACATGTAGGCTGTTATTTGTTAGTCTTTATTGACTCTCATAGTTAAATGTGACTTCACAGCAACATTTTGGCTCAAATTCACTTAGTTGCCACAGGTGTCTTCTAACCTGCCAGTGCCTAGTAGACAGACTAAAGGCAGGAACACAGATTTTGGAAATGTTAAGTGCAGTGTTAGCTTCCAGACGCTCCTGAACTCCGTATCACACTCTGGCATGCACAGCCACTGTCCTCTGCTCAACGCTCAACTCATTCTAACCCATCCTTGCCTTGAATCATTTGAAAACAAATAGAAAGGGCGTAGAAACATTAAATCGGTTTATTTGTCTTGTAAGGAGGATCAATAGAGAATGTGCTTAATCTAACTCATTATTGGAGTCATTGTTATAGTGGGGAGAGGAGAATCCACTATGTTAGAGCTCCTGGGTATGCAACAGCTACTCTGTCCAAAGGTTCACGGTCCTCTGTCTCTGTTACAATGTCTTCCGCAGTCTGAGAAACACAAAGACTCGTCTGACAGCAGTTGATGAGGATAACCGCTGTTATGCGAGAACAATGTGAGTCATTAGAAGTACAATACAATACACATTTGACATTATGTTACGTTCCCCATTATAACTCCACAGACAGAGGAGGAAGGAGGGCGCTAGGAAAGTGAAACAGCTGAGAAACAGAGGCAGATTAAGATTGAAAAAGCCTCTCCATGGTGGTATGTGTTATTAAAAAGCTAAATGCATTAATGTGAGAAGAGTATCTATATAGTATGCATTGTTGTAGAGTTTATGAATTTGATCGTAGGCCTATTTGTCTATGAGGGACCTTTTTTAGCCCGATATAACATCCCTGACTGAATTTATATCAGAACTGGCTTGTGTCCCAAATGGCACCCTATTCCCTATACCATGCACTACTTTTGGTCAGAGCCATATGGGCCCTGTCCAAAAGTAGGGCACTATATAGGGAACAGGGTGCCATTTGGGACGGACCCCCTGATCACCATCTCCGATTTGTGCCTGGTATGCTAATGGCCTACAATATATAAGCCAACGGGAATCATTTTCCACCGGCCAGTTACAGTAGCCAATATTTTGACAAATTGGAAACATGTTATATACAAAAACTTAATTTAGAAGAGCAATTCCCTGAGCTGTGTGTTAGTCTCCCCACAGCCCTGGAGAGATCATCATTATCATTAGTAGCCCTGGATGTAAGGCTTTTTATAGACAGAGATATTACAAACTACCTTGTACTGCACTAATCTTTATCATGCATTTAGCCTACACCTTTTTTCTCACACCAACATTACTGCCTTTCCTTTATTGTCTTTTCTTTCAAATACTGTAATAAGGCTAGGTTTCAATCACTCCAATCACTCCAGCCTTTTTCTACCGGGTTATCTCGATCATACAGTTACTGAACACCTTTTTCTCACACCAATACTGTTCCATTGTCTTATTTCTGCTTTACAATAAGGCTATGTTTCAATCATACTTTTGTACACAAACATTGATGCACACAGTAAAGCTGTTCAAATACTATGATGTGTTCCCATTTATCTGTTTATCCCCAGCCCATGAATGTGACTGACTTCACATTCAAATCCTTAGCTGGAATCGTGTGTGTGTGTTTGTGTGTGTGTTTGTGTGTGTCAGAAATGCATCCAACTGAATGCAGTGAGGCATGACTGCATGAACGGACACAACAAGACATCACAACAGGGACAGAGTTGGTTGGTGCTGTTAAGTAAATCCCGAACAGGATGGCCAAATCGCAATCAGCCTACGGCAGGAAGCGAAGCAGACAGGTTTTGCCTGTGTGTGAAGTACAAATCCACCAAACTGTGTGGGCCTGTGTGGTTCTAATCCCTTTTCAATCATGCACTTTATGGATTACGCTCCTATGTAATTCTTCTCAGGTATAGTTTTTTTTCTTCTTCTTTTTGACTTATTATGATATTTCAATTTGGGGGAGTTAAGTTATTGGCTTAAAGCACCATGCAGGATAAGTAGAGGCCTGTAGAACTTGATGAAAGGACTTTAGCCAGGTCTAAAACACATGGGCTTAATGTTCTCTTATACAGTAAGAATAAATATAATAAGAGTTTTGTAGTAATAAAACTATTACTGGGCTTACAGTTGACATAATTGCTACAATCTTGGTATTATGGTATCCTGACCATCCCACTGCTGACACCTGTGTAGCAAATTCAGGGTTTTTGTCCGACTGGGACTCGAACCGAGGCATATTTTGTTCCAGCGCTTGTAACACTTCCTGATAATCAGTCTTTTTTTGTTTTGTTTTTCAAGAAAAACTTTAAGTAAGCCTGTCACCCCCTGAGGGCACACACTTAGTGTGCCGTGAATGTATTGTAATGTTTTTTAAATTGTATAACTGCCTTAATTTTGCTGGACCCCAGGAAGAGTAGTTGCTGCCTTGGCAGCAGCTAATGGGGATTCATAATAAATACAAATACACTCACTGCCTTCCACTTGCTTGCCGACCGGATGAAGGCAACAGTACACTCCATTGAACCAAGGTTAAATCCAATACTCAGCCTGCAGTCTGTGAGTAAACATAGATGCTGCGGAAGATTTTCAATCACAGAAGGAAAGGGGCCAGTGGATCACAATTTGTTTTTACAATCCATCCGACCACAATACATTTGATGTCTCGTTTAAGTAAAATTTTTACCCCTCTGTCAGTGAGATATTTTATAGGTAATTGTTTAATAGCTGTTAGATATTACAACCTCTGTAGACAGAGAGGTTATTGTAAGGCCACAAGTCCTATCTGACCAAGAAAGACTATAACTAAACTAAGGGCCTTAAATTTTTTTCTGTTCAGGTCACCTAGTTATTGTATACTGACCCTGAGGCACTGTTTTAAATAGACTAACATTTGTCTTCCTTCTCTTCTTCTGAGTTGTGGTGGTGCAGTGAGAACAATTGTACTTTTAGAAAGATATTAAGTCTATGCCATCTGTATTAAAATGTATTTTTAATCCCTTATGTCCTTGGTGTAGCTAAGTGGACATAAACTAGGCATTACAGGAAAAGAGAGTTGCATGAAATGGCCTGTGTTATTCCAATGCTGGTTATTGTGTGGCATGTGAAGGTATGTTCGTGGCAGATGAATTGACCTTGGCGAGTCGCGTGCTGAAAGGTAGATTAAGATTGAAAAGCCTCTCCATGGACCAAGGTGTGTGTTATTAAAAAGCTAAATGCATTCTGTATGTGAGAAAATGATCCATATAGTATTCAACTGTGCATAGCTGCCAGGAAGATCACCGTCACATTGTTTTCTAAAGGTTTGGATAAAATTGCATTGTTGTAGACTTTCTTTTAATTTGATCGTAGGTTGCGTGAGGAACTGTCCAGGTGCTGAAAGGTAGATTAAGATTGAAAAAGCCTCTCCCTGGACCGAGGTAGGTGTTATTAAAAAGCTAAATGCATTCTATATGTGAGAAGATGATCCCTATAGTATTCAACTGTGCTTTGTCACGTGAGGAGCTGTCTAGCGTCTTAAATGAGCGGCGCTGCCCAGTTAACGCGTGAGGAGCAGTCCATGGTGCTGAAGTGAGTGCACAGTTGACGCGTCTACATAGAGCTACACTTCTTCTGATATTTTTCTTTTGAAGTGCACGTGTAATGTATTTCGAGCAGAGTAAATTACACTAACACAATTTGATAATAATTGTTCTCCATGTTTGGATTGGGATTATGCTTAATTTAGATACATTTGATGTTGTGTCAAAGCAAAAATAGCCCATGTGGCTGGCTGGCTTCCATCTTTGTTTGCTAAAAAGTGTTCTGACAGACCCTCAGATGCAATGTTATTATACCTTCCACAACCATCATGTGATTGTAACGTGTTAGATATTTTTTA